TGTGACGCACCGGTGCGTCACGCTGACAAGTCCCACTTATTTTTAATACACCGAAATTTTCAATACCTCAAGTTTGCTCGATTATAATCCGCACAGTCGCATAATATCGAATCGACGTTTCAACATTCTTTGTCCGATGCAGTGATTAGTTCGGCAGCCGAGAAATCGGTGCACGGTAAAAATCAGAAGTTACCGAATAGTAAGAATTAATAAGAAGTAACGCGTTGAGTAGAAGATCGAATAATTAATAAGAATATCCTAGAACCTCCTAAGAAATCGAAAGAAGCTGGGAAGAAAGGAGTACACGCGTCTCGGGATGCCTATAGAAACACTGGGGCATAAGCCGGCTTGAAAAACCTGCTCTACACAATTTCGAAGCGGTAAATCGAATAATCTGTCGAAAGATCGCGAAGTAATAGTTAATAATTTGAAAGAGAAGATCATTTCGGAAATTTCCTGCGCCGCGTTTTACATCCGCCACACGCATTTGTACCTTGACGGAGCACCCTGCGCACGAGTCGCACTCACCTCGTCAATTTTACTCGAATTTTTCATGCAATTTGGAGATCAAGCCCTATAATTTGCATGGTCAACCGGATTGATATAACAGTTCAAACTTTCTCAGTCTGTTTTGAAGCCCAACAACTTGCTCAGTAACGATTCCAACAAATTGGAACTGTTGGTTTATCGAAAAAGCCTTAAACTTAGATTTCGAAGGCTGCACAAAGCGTACTTGGAAGTATCTGCCGGCAGAAACTTGTTAAAATATTCTCCGTTTACCTTGCGAGATCGAGAAGAACCGGGGAGATATCCGTGAAACGTTCTTTGAAATATCGTCGGAAGGAAAGTAAGAGGAGGGTAAAAGGGAAACAGGAAGCAGGTGGACGACTAAAGGGAGCCAGAAGAAAAGGTGGGTCAGCAAAAAAGGTTAAAAACGATATTCGATGAAGCCTGTGATCGTCGAATGCGACGCAATTACCGAAGGTGACCCACTTTCACGTTTTAATCGTAATCCGGTAAACTCGGAAAATGAACACCGGTGAAGTTTTTTCTTTTTTCCAATTTTTCGATGAACCACGGTTTTAATTCTTCTGAAATGATTAAAAACGGCGTTACATTATTTTCCACTAACCCACAAAATTAAGGAGTGCAACGAGTTTCAATGTAAAAAAAAAAAATGATGTGCACGATACAAGTGAAATGTATACGATGTACTTGATAGTTCAGACTCGTTCGTAAATTAAAGAGTAGATAAAAGAAATTAAGAAGTACAAAGAATTAATGTTTTAATAGAAGCAAAAATGATGTACACTCTATAAGTGACAGCTCAGACCCCTCCATAAATTAAAGAGCAGGTAAAATTAAGGGCCACAAAGAGTTAATATCTCAATACAAATAAAAATGATGTACACCATCCAAATGAAATGATGTACACTCTATAAGTGACAGTTCAGACCCCTCCATAAATTAAAGAATCATTACAGTTTCTACGTCTCGATTTTCTTTCTGAAAACCCTGAATAAACCTCCAACCACAAATTTATATTTCAAATTCAGATTTAAACTTCACATTCTATAAAAAAATCCAACCTAATTCTACAATCATGTTCATCAAATATGTTCTTATTTTACCTTGGAGAGAGGAGTTTGACGTCGGTGAAAAAATTCGGGACCAAAAGCAGCAAAAACGAGGTCCGCCTAGAACATTCGAAGTTTCGAACTTGTAATGAAAATTAAACGAGGTCGTCGGTGCAATTTCGTGGAGCGAAATTTCTCTAATGCCCGACGAAGGGAAAGAGGAAGGATATCACCCTCGAGTTCGGTGACAATGAAAAACAGTTGGAGCGCGACCGGTTAAATTTCCCGCGTAATCCGTTTAATTCTCTGCGACTTGGCGAATTAATCGGCGCGTTGGAAACGGAATTAATATTAATGGTCCCGTAATAATGGGTCCGTAACTTGATTCCGAGTTGACCCGCTCGAATAACGCTGTTCTGTAGGGAGAAAGGAAATACGACGTCGACGGGTACAGTCGAGAGCAACAGTTTAGGGCAAAAGGAGGTATGGAGAGATGGGGATTTGAGGGATATGGAAGTTTTTGAGGTGGAGATTTTTGGAATTAAAATTTGTTGGGGAGGAGTTTGTTGAGATGGAAATTTTGAAGGTGTGGAATTTATTTAGGGCTCTGGAGATATCGAGAAATAGATATCTGAAGGATATGGAATTTTTTGAGATGGAGATTTTAAGAATTAAAATTTTTTGAGGTGAAATTTGTTGAGATGGAGATTTTGAAGGTGTGGAATTTATTTAGGGCTCTGGAGATATCGAGAGATAGATATTTGAGGGATATGGAATTTTTTGAGGTGGAGATTTTAAGAATTAAAATATTTTGAGGTGAAGTTTGTTGAGATGGAAATTTGAAGGGTGTGGAATTTGTTGAGATTGAGATTTGAAGGGTGTGGAATTTGTTGAGATGGAGATTTTAGTCCATTTAGAATTTGTCAAGGTTGAGATTTGTGGTCTTCACAGTTTGTTAAGGTTAAGGAGATTTTGGGGCTTCGAAATTAGTCTAGCTTGAAATTTTGGGGATTCGGTGTTTGTCAAGGTTAAGATTAGTGGTCGTCAGAGTTTGTTAAGCTTGAGAATTTAAGTCTGAGAAATTGGTCTAGCTTGAAATTTTGGGGATTTAGAGGTTGTCAAGCTTGAGATTTCAGATCTTCATAGTTTGTCAAGGTTGAGATTTCAGGTCTTCATAGTTTGTCAAGGTTAAGATTTCAGGACTTCAGAATTTAATAAACTTGAAATCTCAGGTCTTTAGAATTTGTCAAGGATGAAATCTTAGGTCTTCAGAATTTGTCAAGGTTCAAATCTCAGGTCTTCAGAATTTGTCAAAGTTGACATTTCAAATCTTAGAATTTTGTCAAAGATGAGATTTCAGATCTTCAGAATTTGACTAATTTGAGATTTCAAGTCTTCCTAATTTGTCAATCTTGAAATTTCAGGACTACAGAATTTAATAAACTTGAAATCTCAGGTCTTTAGAATTTGTCAAGGTTGAAATCTCAGCTCTTCAGAATTTAACAAGTTTGAAATCTCAGCTCCTCAGAATTTGTCAAGCTTGAAATCGCAGGTTTTCAGAATTTGTCAAGGTTGAAATCTCACTTCTTCAGAATTTATCAAGGTTGAAATCTCAGCTCTTCAGAATTTATCAAGGTTGAAATCTCAGCTCTTCAGAATTTATCAAGGTTGAAATCTCAGGTCCTCAGAATTTGTCAAGGTTGAAATCTCAGCTCTTCAGAATTTGTCAAGGTTGAAATCTCAGCTCTTCAGAATTTATCAAGGTTGAGATCTCAGATCTTCTGAATTTGTCAAGCTTCAAATTTCAAATGTCCAAAGTTTACCAAAGGGATTTCAAGTCTTTAGAATTTATCAGGTTGAAGATTTGAAGAGGATATGAAGGATCTAAAGGATATAGTGATCTACGTATCAATAAGTTAGCCATTTGAGGATGCAGAGACTTGGTCATCTATAAACTTAGAAACTCTATTATTCATAAAAATTTAGAAATATTTAGAGGCATTTGAATTTGCTAACCTATAGATACATGTACTTATTCAATCCTCAGAAATACTTCAGCCTAAAAATTTAGAGATACATGGATTTGACATGCTACCAAGAGATCTTGAAGACTAAGAGTATATCTAACTCTACTCAGATCAGAAATTACTATAATTATAATTTAGAAATATGATATAATACATATTCATAGATTTATGTACCGATGTCAAGTACAACATCAATGAGTCCTCTAAAATCACTCCTCCACTTACACTACCGTCCATAAGTATCCGGACACTTGGTTTCGTTACATAAAACATAGTTGAACTTTGCCGAAAGGTATTTAGAGTTATCATATCATTTGTAATAATTATTATTATCTTTTTCGAGGTGTCATAACGCAATAGAATTAATTTTTAAGTACAAATTATACAATGAAAGTGTGGAAGTAAAATTCATGTCCAGAAGTACAAAGTCCAAATTTGTGAATCTAATGAAACGCTTTCGATTCTAAACAAAATTTTCATTTCTACCGTGTTTCATTTCTATGGTGCAGAACGTATTCAGAGGGTTCTTCGATACGTTTCAAGTGTTTGTAAACTGTTGGTAGATGTTTAGGTTCCCTCAATGGAGATGCGAATGGAGGTAACGCTACGCACTCGACAGTTTCGGTTTAGTTCGTCTGTAGCTTCTTTTCCATCGAGATAT